TTTTTTTGTATTCAATAATCACATTTAATATTTATTGTTCAATAGTTAACTTTTTTTCTTTTTCTATAGAGTATGTTCAAATATGATTCAACTTAAGACTGGTACTCAATTGTTTTTGTCTCCAATCTTATTCGATAATCCATCTTTGACTTCCATTTTTAGTCAACTACAAGGACTTGAATTATTGACAGAAAATGTTGACGGATTGGAATTATTGACAGAAAATATTTATTTTTCTTTAAAATATGCATCAAAATTAATTCAATGTTGTCCATCACTTATCAATATTGAACTTCAAGTATTTTTATTTGATACATGTGTACATCTTGTTGATATTCTTCTTGATGGTTTAATCAATTTGCTTCATCTCAAAATATATTTTACTGATGATACAATACTTGATAAATCATATTCACGTAATTATGTTATAGAAAAGCGTCGTCAAGCATTTCCATGTAATATTTTTAATAAAAACAGAGTTGTTGTCAAAATCAATGAACAATCATTGGAAATTTATCTGTAATCATCTATTATTATCATCTGTATATTTATTTTATTATGAATATATGTTAAATAAAAAGCAATAAATTGATAGTATATTTGACGAGTGAATGTATAGTGAGAAATCGACTTGACATACAAGAAAATATTCTTTGTACACAATATGAGCATTAGAACAAATACATATATACTTTCCAGGCATATTTTGGAAAACTACAATGAACGCGACGAGTAGTCGAAAATTTCTATACCGAATGGGACAAAAGTAACAGGACAAATAATTTTCGATTTTTTTCTTTGTACATATTCAGTTAGATCTCATATTTTTACGATATATACTAGATGATATAATCCAAAGATGCAGGATATGATCAGCATCTAGGTGTAGTAATTTGTTCGAAAGCATACAAATATAGGGCCGTTAACAGTAAGAAAACGTTTTTTCAAGCAGTAGAACTAGAAAATGACGCACATAATATAATGTATTTGTGAAGTAGTTTTAATAGCAAAACTTTTCACAAGGGTTATTCAATGTATTCGCCTTTTAAGCCTTTGTAAAGGTGCAATCGCTTAGATACCAACTGACACGCTCATCGACATGATTTCGCTGGCAAACTTCGTATTTCTGTAATAATAGCTTCCTTGAGCGCTTGAATATCTTGAGGTTTTGTCGCATATGCACAGTTTTTGATTGCATCCTATAAAAAGAAGCCGTTTGGAGTTAGATTCGAAGATCGTGCTGGCCAGTCAATCAGTCCACGCCGATTAATCCACCGATTAAGAAACTTTTTCGATACTCAATAGAAGGGACAATTTCTTTATTGAGCTTTTCAAAATAGCTGTGTGCAATAACAGTATCACGAAAGAAGAACGGATCGATGATGCCTTTAGACCAAATTGCAGCCTACACAGTAACGCCCAGAGCATTCATTTCTTGCGTAATGACTATGTACAAAAAATTCCGTCGATCAATGAAGAGTTGTCAGCGACTAAGTTCAGAAAGATGTCGGCAAATTCGCAGCATCGATCAGGATCATCAACGCTCAAGACATATAGTAAGTGAGGACGATAGAGTTTCAATTCTGGTTCCTTCATCATCCGTCGAAGACTGGTTCTAGTCAGTTTCAGTTTCAAAGACGCTCTTCGGAATAACGTTTCGAAACTTTTCTGAAAAGCAGCATGAATTCGTTCTCGATTCTTGTCGGTACTAATAGATCTGAGTCAATCGGAACTAGATTCATTCTGGACACGTCCGGTTTCGTTGAGCTTTTGTACAAGATTGAAATTTTGGTTCGTGTTGGAGGAGTTCAGCCGTAATGGTCTTGTAACTGACGAGCAACTTCACCTGCATTCTGGTAAATAGCGTGCCATCTTACAATTTCAATTCTTTCTAATGTGGACAGTCGAAAACGTTCACTAATGGTTAAAAATAATCTGAAAAAGATTGAGCATTAGTAGGTTAGAATGATCGTTCATTGCTTATTTTTGTTCGATCATGCCACCACTAGCACATGCATAAATACTAGTACAGAAGACAAAACAATACATATGTTATGACATCAAAACTATAACTGTCAAATACGGTTTTTTTACTTTTGACAGTTCTGTATTTGTACGAAGGTGCTCATAGGCCCTTAAGGGCTATCCTATGGAGATATCCATAGTTCCTAAACGGCTGTTATATAGAGGTACTCATAAGTCCTTATCGGCTATGATAGAGGGGTATCCATAGGCCCTGAAGGGAGTAAGACATTAAGGAGGTAGGTAATTAAGGGGTAAGGAGATAAGGCTAAAAGAGCTACAAGGAATATAAGGCTATAAGGGCACAGGCTATATGCACTATGAAAATATATGCGATATATAACAGTATGAGGTCGTAGGACTATCTATCTATATACATAATATCGAGTATCTGTATGTCTGTTAGAGGATAAAAAGTTAAATGTCTGAGGTCATACGTTAAACGAGAAAATAGCCGTGCAGCATGCACGGGTTCTCGCTAGTATAAATATATGCAGCTGATTCACGAAGATAGAACGCAAGAGAGAGAGATTTTTCAATTTTTCTATAAGATCGTAAAGAACGCAAGAATTCTCACTATCCAGAAGATTAATATGCACAATTTTTTCATCCATTTATTAAAGAAATATTAAATTCATAAAAACAAAAATTATCTCTGTGAACATTGCACAAGTTTATAATAATAACCTTTTTGATCCATCAATTGTTGATGACTTCCTGATTCAATAATATGTCCTCGATTAATCACATAGATCACATGACAATTTTTAATTGTTGTTAATCGATGTGCAATTGTGATGGATGTACAATCTTGTTGCGCTTCATCAATTGCGTCTTGAACAATCTAAACAAAACAACAAACACTTAATGATTTTATGAATTTATTTATTTCTACAAACTTGTTCATTTATTGTATGTATATTTTTTGGCTTTTCTTCCTTATCAAACTCGTTCTCGAAAAATATTGCTGCATGTCAATGTTGACTTGA